TTTTTTCAAAATATTTTCGTTGTGTGGTTTTGAAATGATTGAGCAAATAAGTTTCAGAAAACTTGTTTTTACACCTCCAGGACAATACAATACGTATTTTTACATTTTTTACAAAAAAATGGGATTTTTAAAGCCATAAACTTGTTTAAGGTTACCCATCTTAGCTTTTTGCATGTCAATATTTTACTTCAGTGCATTACTTAACATGAACAATTCACGATTTCGCGGCTTTTTCTGTTTTGAAAAAAAAATTTAATTGAAGTTCTCACTGGCCATACATCTATCCATAACGGTCGTGCAAAAAAATTTGCTTTGATTGCATGGTTCTTTTTTATGGCAACATTTTTTGATACAATCACAAAACAGATACCACAGGTTTAAATAGATTCTAGGCATAGATTCACAATTAGATTATATAGTTTTTGAATAAGGGTATTTTACCAAAATTTGTCAAAAATATTCTGAATTTTTTCCAAATTTTGTTCCAATTTCCTCCAAAAAATATTGAATCAAATGTTACATTTTTATTTTCAGCAGATTTCAGGCTTGATATTTAATCTATTTTTGGAATTGAATAGTCAATAACTAGGAGACATGGCAGGCCGGGTGCCTCGCCGATACCAGACACTTTAGCACTGGACAGCTACAATTATCAGGATTCATGTAATTTTATAACTTCAATTTCGCGAAATTTCGCCGAAATTTCGCATTATTTCTACAAAAGTATTTTCGCGAAATGTTGCAATAATTACGCCTAAATAGTGAAACCGCCATACAAACCAACCTAGACAGGAGAACATTTTAACCTTCCAGGAGAATCTAAATACATCAGACATTTTATGACTGAAACCACAGGAATGAATAGAAAAAAAGTTTTTATTTGATTTTAAACTGTAATTCATTATTTATAAGAGTATTTTTTATTTCCAATTCTTTAAAAGGTTTAGATACCCCTCCTTAGAAAAGCCGCCCCCCGCCCCCTGATTTACGTAAAAGTTCGTTAATTAGATCGACCTTCACCATCACTTTATACACTTGACATATAAACTAAATAGTTTGTTTTCAATCTTCATTTGACAGAAACAATCTCAAGAAATGATAATTTTCTTAAAACATTTTTTAAAAAGTGAATATTTGAAAATTTTCCATCTCATGATCTGAGTTCGTTTCCCTCTTGTCCATTAGACAGCCCATTAAAAAAAATTAAACAACCTTTTTTGTTTGTTCATTTTCTTGTGGTTTTTAACATCGATTTTGATTGTTATTATATCGCTAGAACTGACGAGGGTCAACCTAGACCGACATATATTTTCAATAAAATGTGGAACTAACATCTACTTTTTTTCTCTACAGAGTTATAGTCCATCACCATAAACAAATTTTAGCTCAAATTAAAAGTATTGGAATTATCCAATCAGATTGGAAATGGTTGAAGCGCATATCCTTACACATATTTTCCCGCTATATTCATTTCTGAGAATTAATATGTACTTTACTAATTACGGAATGATTTTGTATTACGTAATTTCGCGTAATGCTTCTCCGTAAGTGAAAGAAAGTGTTACGCGTAATTACGACTGGAACCCCTAGATTCATGTGATACCTATTATACTATACCAATGCAGGATAATTCTGGAGGTTTGCTTACAAGATTTGTTTATTAAAATTATGTAATAAACCGAACAAAAAATTAACCAAATTCTTTATAAAGCTAATTTGCTGTTTTAGAACATATTTCTAGAAAGAAATTATTGATGAATCTGTGGAAGAATCGATAAGTTCTTTTGTAATTTCTTCATCATTATTTTAAATTTTTTATTTTCTATAATTTTTTTTACAAATTTCAATTCAATTCAAGGAAGCACTTGATTCATAAATGGTTTTTTTTCAAAATGAGTTATGTTTGAAAACATGTACCATGCTCAGTTGAAAAAATACATTCATCTTTTTTTTTAAATCGATATAGACTGCTGTGATAAGTATTTGAAGTATCGTAAACGTCTTTTCTTCAACCCCACAAACTCACTTATACTTTTTTGCAGCCCTGGACATGCAAAATTTACATTTTAGAACTCTAAAACAGTTGTTTTTAGTTTTGTATTAGTTTATCAAAAAAGCATTGCTTATGAATAAATAGTAAAGGTTCGATTTATTTTATTATCAATCTTCTATACTTTGCTTGTCATGGCGGGTGTCTACTTGTTTGTGTCTACTAAACGTCTGAACGGCTATACCGATCAGCCCAAAACTTTTGTGGGACCTCGCGTGACTCGAATTTCCAAAATTTACTTCTAACAAAATTCGATTTTTGAAAATTTTGAAAATCTACGAAATATTCTTATAAAATCCCCGAATTTCATTTTGTTTGTTTTTCAATGGTTACAGAGAGAACATGTTCACAATATAAAAGCCTAGTATGTATAAATACTTTGCTTGTCTGTCTGGGTTGGGTGTCTGGCTCTTTGTATCTAATAAACGTCAAAACGGCTGAACTGATCAGGCCCAAATTGTGATTGGAACCTTACGTGACCCCAAAGAAGGTTTATGAATGATCATAATTTCAAAAATTTGTGCTAAAAAGGTTTTTAATTTTTTAAAATTTTGAAGTACAGCTCCTTTAAGGTCGTTATTTATAGTTTATACCTGAAGAAAATTCAGTCTTAAAGTGAAATGTCAAATTTACATTTTATCTCCATTTCCTAATATTCCGGGACATTTTACAGTAGTTAGACTTGTATGTATATGGAGAGTTGAGACCAGAGATGGGAATTAAAGAGAGTTTGAGTTAATTAAAAACTCAGTTTGGAAATTTAAAAACAAGACTCCGATTTTTAGTAATAGCGTTTAAAGGTTTTATAGAAACCTAATTTTCATTTATGCACAAATTATTTATCATTTCAGTTCATTCTTCAAGCTTGTCTTATCTTATTATCAAAACCCAGTTGCTAAGCGAAGGACTATCTTAAGTTTCTAGCTCTAAATAAGTTTCTTTAAGGCTGAAGTATGAACCTCTAGGTTTGAATATATTTAACAAATGATGCGGTATACATACAGACAGGGATACGGAGTAGAGAACGGTTTAAAATACTGATTCTAACAGACAGGATACATTTCTATCACCCTCCTTCATCCCCTATCTAGCTTCCTTAATCCGCTATCTTTTCTTTTATCTCCTTTCTTCAGTTCTTAGTCTCCTTTCTTCTCCTTAATCTCCTTTCTTCTCCTTAATCTCCTTTCTTCCCCTTAATCTCCTTTCTTCCCCTTAATCTCCTTTCTTCCTCCTCTAGTCTCCTTTCTTTCCCTATATCTTATTGCTTTCTCTCACTCTCCTTTCTACCATTGAATCTTCTTTTTCCTCTATGTCTCCTTTCTGCCTTTTTAATCTCCTTTCCTCCCCTTTATCTCCTTTTCCACTTTGTCTTCCTTCTACCTATTAATCTTCTATCTGCCTCTTGATCTCCTTTCTTTATCTCAGAAAGATCTTATTTCATGAATGGGAGACCTCAAAGTTTGAGGCACAACTAAAATTAAAGTTTGTGAAATCCGATGAATTATTTTTAGTAAATCTTAGCAACTCCGATGTAATTTTGAAATCTGTGATGACAGCTTGAAATTGCCTTTAAAGGGAGTGTTCACAAAAAAGGGGGTATATAGGCTTATCGCGAACAGTTTTTAACAATTTTCTCCTAATAGACGCAACAGATAGAAGTATGATTAGAAGCGATCAAAAGCGATTATTTTTCGCCGTAAGCCTATACCCCCTTTCATTTTTCTCGAACCTTGAAGACTCCTCTAGGGACGTCTATTCTATACGTTTAGCTAATCTTGTAATTTTAAATTTCATATTCAGATTATTCCGATGAAATGATATCCAAAGAAATTGTACTCGAATCCGAGTGTGTATTCTTCATATAGCTTTATATTCAATTCGAGAAAAGAAATTGTTTTCAAAATATTTACTTCAAGGTGTCATAAACATTTACCAGACGTTAAGATGAAGCAATGCACTGTTAGAGGCGGTTTAAAGGGACTGTAAGAAAAATTTCAAAGGTGACAACCGAACCCTTGCAACCTTTATCTAAAAATTATTTGTCGTTTTTCTTGGTTTGAAATAGTTCTGGTGCGGTTTTACTGCAGTAGAATGGCACAAATCATTTTGTACAAAAACCAAAATTGAAAATAATCAGGTTTAGAAAATTATAAATATAATATTTAATTCATACTTGATCAGACAAAGCTATTAAGGGTACCGTTGTGAACTAGGCATTGCGATCTTTCCATGGAGGGTCACTTAAATTTACGCTTACAGTCCCTTTAATGTGTGTGCATGTGGGCAGTGGGTAAATAACCTTCAATGGAAAATTGAGGGGCGTCCCCAACCCATCCATTATTAAATTTGGGGCCAGCTTCTTTAATTCAAATTTTAAGATTCCCTCAGAACCCTTTTCTCAAATTCTAATTATCTTTATAACGTTGTAACTAATTTATAGGCGCTGGAAAAAAATAAGGCCACGAAATTTTCCCCTCTTGTGGCTGCACGTTTTTAAGGATATGAGTGACAAAATAATTCCCCCCTCACCACCCCCCATGGTTTTAGAAACCGCCCCTGTTTACCTGTTTACACTGCATTAAACAATTATAAAGTAATAAATCCAACAATACAAAATATAATTCAGGATTCCTTAAAAAAATACAATTTGGCTTGACAGCAGCAAAGCGCTCAAAATTTTGCAATACTGAATAATTGTTAAAAACACAATTGATAAGCAAATTTTATCTAAAATCGTCGTATATATTTTTACAAGACGACTTTCAATTTCAATTTTCAATTTCTACCTAGCTTTAAAACAACAGGGATACACATAAACATGGAAACAAATTGAGAAGCTGTCAATTAACAGCTTCTATTGCTTACAGCTGTCAATTAACAGCTTCTATTTACAGCTGTCAATTAACAGCTTCTATTGTTTACAGCTGTCAAATACTGTTAATATTTTTAGATTGAGAAAGTAAATGTGGAAGATGAAGGATTGTATGAATGTCAGATTAGCACCAATCCTAAATCTTTTAAAGTTTTCTCACTTCATGTGTTTACCCCTAAGGTAAACTAATCATCATTATCATCATTATCATCATTATCATCATTATTGTAGAGGATATGAAGTTTAAGCTTGGGATTGTCATCCTCGTCCAATTCTGGAGCTGTTTCTGACCAGGAGGTTGTGTTTTCGGCCATGGTTCTTTTGTTGTCTGGGGTCACCATTTTAGAAGTACATTTATTGCTTCTAGATATAATTACATATTAAATACGAGTGTGTGAAAGGAGAGGAAGTTGAGCAGGTCTTCTCCGGTTCCAGGGTCCGACACAACTATATATTATCATCATTATCATTATTATCATTATTATCATTATTATCATCATTATCATCATTATCATCATTATCATCATTATCATCATTATTATCATTATCATCATTATTATCATTATCATCATTATCATCATTATCATCATTATCATCATTATCAAAATTATCATCATTATCATCATAATCCTCACATTATCCCTAATTAAGGTTGTTATATCTGGTTCTCCTGATGTATATATCCGGGAAGGGAGCTCTGTATCTCTGGAGTGTGTTGTCAGGAATAAGATTAAGACAAAGTTTTGACAAATTGATTTAAATTTCTAAATTTCTAAATTTGAAAATGTTGATCACTTACTTACTTATGTATGTTTTGGCTTATCGATACATGGTTTCTGTGCAAAAAAAATTGTTATTAAAAATTAAGATTTAAAACAAGGATTTTATATGAGTCCTTGAATATTTATTTTATAATCTTAGTTCCTGACATTATAGATTTAGCATTAATTCCATAAGAGCTGATTGAATGATATTGTAACCAATGTGAGCTCAATAGCTCGGAATAAGGATAGAATTCCATTGTTGTAACCCCTTCAGTCCTCAGACGGACCCTGAGGTAAGCTCGGATTGCAATTAGTTCGGCCTATACTCATGACATTTTATTAGCTTTTCTTTATATAGCTATAGGTCGGACAGAAAGTGGGGCGGATGATAAGACTGTAAATTCCAAAATTCATTAACATTGAATAATAGTTTTGCATATTAAGCTGTTCTTGACTATTATGCGTTTAAAAATTTAGAACATTTTTGTATAAAAGCACATTAACTTTATCTAAAATATTTATCATATTTAACCGAATTAAAGTTCTAGAAAATCATTTTCAATGAAAAAAATTGTCTTGACTTTAGAAATATGGATTCTCCTGTTTACATTTCCTGGGAGTTTCAGGGTAGAACACTTCTAGGAGGAACAGTCAGGTAGAATAAAAACCTAGAAAATTAAAAATGTTACGCGCCATTTCATGAGAGAATCGGATTGGTCGGAATTTGAGGTGGGATATTTCCAAAAAGAGCGGATTAAGAAGGAAATAGAAAGTGTACACTGTGAACAGTTGATATTCAGATTAAGCAGTCGGGTCGGGATTAAGCAGTCGGGTCGGGATTAAGCAGTCGGGTCGGGATTAAGCAGTCGGTTCGGGATTAAGCAGTCGGGTCGGGATTAAGCAGTCGGGTCGGGATTAAGCAGTTGGGTCGGGATTAAGCGGTCGGGTCGGGATTAAGCAGTCGGGTCGGGATTAAGGGAATCAAATTCTAAAGTTCCGAGCACTGAAGGCTTATAGACGCTACCGAACATTTGAAACAGTTGTGTATTTCGGTTTCCAGCAAACGAAAAATTTTCGAATTTTTAAAAATGGAAATTAGTTTTTGGTTCGTTTTTGTGTATATTGTCTTTTAGAATCAAAATTTGGCAAATGTTTAGAAAACCGAATTTTTAAAACAAAAAGGATTCAGAAATATGTGTCACATATTAACCCTATCCCTGCTGAGGTACTTGAAAACCAGGTTATGTTGGGGGGGGAGGTCGATTTGACCCCACCCCTATCTAAATTCCATGTTTGATGTCAAAACATGTAAAATGATAAGTCATTGGAACGCTGTTCATTTAGAATCTTTAAAAAAATTGAAAATTTGCAAAAATTCAATTTTTTTTGCAAAATCCAGTTATATAAAGGGTTACCTACAAAGGATGGGACTGTAAAGACGACGTGAAATGTCGATCCCAAGGTTAAATTAAGTATTATAGCCTAGAAATAGTAGTCTGATGGTTTATTTTATGCTTTGACAAAGAAAGAAACAAGTTTACACAGCTTATAGGGAATCATGACTATAAGTAAATAGAGGCCGAATTTAAAGAATTTAAACCGCAACTTAAATTTAAGCCCCTGCTTAAATGTAGTAGGTTCAATTTAAAATCCTATTCATTGCTTCAAGATTTAAGCCGGCGCTAAATTGAGACCGGTTTTTGGCTGGTTTAAGACGCGGCTCAAATTCATTAAATTCGGACACAGATAGTATTAATTTTGTACAATCGTCTCTGAAGTTACATCTTATGTGGGTATACCTGTGGTAAAAATATTTGAAAAAAAATTCCAAAAAGTGACAATTATACATTTTAAAAGGACTCGAGACCATGTCATTTCAAGTATGCGAAAAAAAAATTGTGCAAAATTTTAATTAACCTGATGTGTGATTAAGATAAACTAAAAATGTGCAAATTTCTTTTGTCGGGTTGAATGCAAATAATTGCAAAACTTGTGCAATTCGCTTCCTTATGTAATAGGCTTTCCAAAAAGTTAAAAAATATCAAATCAGACAACTGAAAGTGGGACAAAACAAAGATTTAGTTTGTTACAGGCAGTGTGTCAGTTAGTTTAAAAGCCCAGTTGTGTAGACCTAAAGGAATTTTTTTGCGAAATTTGCACAATTTTTTCGCGGAAAAGGCGGAAATTTTCGCGTTTTTCGCCAGCGAACAAAATGCAAAAATGCTAAATTTCCCCTTTTCCTGGAAACCCTAGTGTATTTTTAATCATTTACAAAGACGATCTCGAATTCCATGTTTATTGAAACTCCCCGTATGTCTAGGAACCACACAGCTGTGATATCTCGCCTAAACCTGATCGATGTTAAGAAAAGAGAAGAAGGGGAGTATACATGTCTTCCTTCAATGCTGAAACCAGTTTATATCAAACTTCATGTTCTAGGTTAGACATTACTTATTTTGATATTGGATAGGTACCGTGGTGGGCATCTGAATTCGAGAACCATTTTTAAATATTTAAATATTTCAAGGCTCCACAATAATCTGGTAAATTCTTTTTTCAAAATACCAGGCTAGACAATTATACGTTTATTACATTATGCACAACTTTTACTTTTTAACCAAAGATATATTAATAAAGTTGATTAGTTGATTAGAAAATCGCATTTTGTTTAATATCTTTGATCAGAGAAATTATTCGCATAAAGTAACTAAAGCAAACTTATCGAGTATGCAATTTGGCAATAAGAATAATTCCACACATTTTTGTGAAACACTTTTAATGTAAAAAATCCTAAATGTTTCAAAATGGCCCCCAAAAAGATGCCCTTCCATTAGCAAGGGCCGAGGGTTAGTTAAATTGATATAGGTGGTTTTATTTTCTTAAAGAACAAGTTTTATATCATAATTGGATTATAGACTAACCAACCTGTACACACCAAATTAATTTGGCTTTGAATTTAATCGTGTTTTTTTAATCTTTAAACTTTAGGAGTCTTTTTTACTTCTCATTTGAAATAAATAAATAAAATACGCGCAGAATATTCAAAGATCATTGTTTTATTTTATCTTTTTATGAAAAAGTTTATATTGATTACTGATTAACCTTTAAGATTCCACAAATACCTAAATGTTGAGAAAACGTTTCGTAAAAATCCTCAGAAACCTTCAAAGAAAAACCTCAGGCAACATTTTCTGAAATAAAAAAACTGTTAAAAAACAGATGAGACCAGAGGTCGAATTTAAAGAATTTGAGCCGCGGCTTAAAATTGAGACGCGGCTCAAATATGGTCGGTTCCACTCAAAATTGTATTAAATGTGTCAAGATTCAAGCCGGCATCTAATTAAAATTGGTTTTTGGCGTATTTGCGACGGGGCTAAAATTCATTCCCTCTGATGGATCATTTATTTAAAATTGGAGGCAATTATTAACTAATTAATGGTAAAAACAACAACTCTAAAAGTTCTTACTTATTTTTGAAACCGCACACCGATACTCAAACCTCCCCCTTACTCACCACTCAAACCTCCCCTCTCACTTACCACTCAAACCTCCCCACTCACTAACCACCCAAACCCCTCTCCCTTACTCATCACTCAAACTTCCCCCTCGGTCAAACTAAAACCTCCCTCTCACTCACCACTCAAACACCCACCCCCTTACTTACCACTCAAACCTCCCCACTCACTAACCACTCAAACCCCTCTCCCTTACTCATCACTCAAACTTCCCCCTCGCTCAAACTAAAAACCTACTCCCTCACTCACCACTCAAACCTCCTTCACACTCACTAACAAATCAAACCTCCCCCCTCACTTACAACTCAAACATTCCCCTCACTCACCACTCAAACCTCCCCTTAACTCACCAATCAGACTACCCCCCCCCAAAATCACCACTAAGACCTCCCCCCTCACTCACAAATCAAACACCTCACCTCCCCTCACTCATCTCTCAAACCTCCCCCTCACTCACAACTCAAACACCCATCACCCTTACTCACCACTCAACCCTTTCCCCTAACTCACCACTTAAACCTCTCCCTCGCTCACCACTCAAACCTCCTTCACACCCACTAACCAATCAAACCTCCACCCATCAATCACCACTCAAACATCCCCCTCACTCACCACTCAAACCTCCACCTCACGCACCACTCAGACCTCCCCCCTCACTCACCACTTAAAACCTCCCCCTCATTCACCACTCAAACCAAGCCCGGCACTAACCACCCAAAAATCCCCCGTCACTCACCACTCAAACCTCCGCCTAACTCACCACTCAAACCCCCTCCACGCTCACCACTCAAAATTCCCCCGTCACTCACTACTCAAATCTCCCCCATCACTCACCATTCAAACCTCCCCCATCACTCACCACTCAAATCTCCCCCACACTTAGAAAGAGCAGATTATAAAGATTATTTTTTCTGAACTTTAGTTTACCATTAAACTTGTTAAGTAGTTCTTAACCATTTCTCTTTAACCATGAAACGTTAGGTGTCTTAATCTGTAAATCCTTTCTAAAAAGGTTGCAATGATAAAATATGGGTTAAGATCTCGAACTTTAGTGGTTAAGGTGCCAAAAAGTTTTGAAAAATTACAAGAAGTGTTCTCTTAATTTTCTTATATGATACATGAGATTATTTCAAGTATTTATTCAACTTAATAAACAAAATGGTTCTTAACTACTTTAGATTTTTTGTAAACACTAATTGTGTAAAGTTAAAATATTATAGTTCGAGGATTTGTTATAAAAATTGATATAGTTCACATTGGTCCGACTCCGGGCTCATATGCTAAACATAAATATTTTAAGGTTTAATATTTTGACATTTTGATAAATTTGACATAAATATCAGGAATCAAAATGAATATGAAAATATAAAAATGTGTTTTCATTCCTACCCAGAAAACTATATATTTATAGTCTAAATGGCCAAAAAAAAATTTAAGAGGGGTTTGAGCGTTTTGGCATGTAGGATAAGAAACTCAATTAACTATTTTATCTCAAAAAATCCTGTCTGCTTGTTTGTCCGATCATAAACTAGGAACCCAAGGACCGATTTGCCTCAAATTTTTATTGGGGAACGGAAATGTTCATAGCTTGGTTTAAAGATTCAAAAATGGATGGATTGACCTTTATAGCAAAAATTTAGTTTCCCTGTAAAGTGCAGGTAAACGGAGGGAGTAACTTTTAGTACCCTGGGGAACGCTGGGTTCCCGAGCTTGTGGATAATATATCATTCATTTTGTTTCTTTTAGGTCGAGAGAACTCAGGGGAAAGAGGATTACCGTACACTAATTCATCTGCAAGGAATATTCTACATTAAGATATATTTTAAACAATCTTTTCGTTTAACAATAAAATGAAAGTACTCCCCTGAAATATATTTTAAATCTGATCGGACTGAAGACAGAATTTCAAATAATCTTCATTTCCAATTCACAACGGTATCCTTAGACAATTTGACTGATCTGTAACTAATGCATCATCATTATTTCTTTGAAAATTAATTATTTTATATATTTAAAACTTTGTAAAGTTCTTTGTAGATAGTTGCTTCAGAAACTGTCAAAATTAAACGCTTTTTAAACTAGAAAAACGACAATATCTTTTATATTATAGATCATATGTTGGCTTGAAGAGTACCGCTAAAATCGGACAAGCCCTTTTTTAAAAGTCACAAGGACAGTTCTCTCTAAAATCATAATTACTTATTATATATTATTATATATTATTATATATTATTATAAACCCATTTTACACAAAGTTTTTCCTAAAGACGAAGATGTACATTAAACCTGAAAATACACTTGATTTTAAGTATTTCTTAAAAAAACAGGGATTTCTAATATTTGGAGTTAAATCTTCTTTTCGCCTACCAAAGATTTCTGAATTGCGTGAACTAAAACACTAAGCTATAAAACTGAAGATTGTATAGTTACGTTTGGTCGATTCGCCGACATAGGGTCAAATGACTTAGGGTCAAATACAGTAGGGTCAAATACAGTAACGACATGGTGTAAAACGACCTAGGGTCAAACGACAAACGGTCAAAAACGCGATGAAGGGTAAAACGACATAGGGTCAAAAAGTCCGACAAACGGGAAAAATTGCATTTGGACTCGGAGAAAGGGTAGACTATCTTTGGTTAATTTGAACTATTTTTATGTCCTAGTCGCCGTGCTCAGCCCAGAAATTGTTTTAATAACCTAACCTTACCCTGAAATAATAATACCCTTTTTCGCGTTTTTTTACCGTTTGTTGTTTGACCCTATCTCGTTTGACACTGGGTCGTTAGACCCTGTGTCGGTGAACTGTGTGTTCTACAGTGAGAACAAGAAAACTCTGGAATAAGAAGACGACTTTTAAACGCAAGTTATGACTTCAATGAACATGAGACACATAAATTGTGCAGTGTTACCAGATCTAATTCTCTAGACAAGTGAGTCAACTATTTGCTTTGTAAATACATGATATGCACTTAAGTTTCGCTGTAAAGACGTCTTCCTATTCCACAGTTTTCTGGTTCTCACTGTACAGTTGCTGGATAATTAGTTAAAATGCAAAGAAATGCGCGGAAGTGAATTACTTAGCAAGTTTATTCTTGGAATTATTGCAAATTGGCAGATTTCTTGAAACTCAAATTGCTAATTTCTATTTACCATGAAATTCAAATTTGCAGAGAAGAGGTTTACATTGCATGCAAGACAACTCACTTCCGCATTAAAGCATATTAACATTTGGGGGGGGGGGACCTGGGTGTAAAGTACAAAAATTTACTATTCTGTAATTTATGAAAATGAATCAAATTTTGTTTAAACAAAATGCGTTGGGGTATATTATCTTACCTTTTCTGATTCGTACAAAATATGCATTATTTACCCGAAATTTGATCAATTTTGTTTAATTTTTTCTAAAATCGATTTTAAGAGTGTGAAATTCAAAAAACTGTTTACTTAAATTTTGAAAAACTTTTTGATAACAAAGCCTTTCACCTCATCCATTCCATATTATATTGAATCTGTCTCCCCCTTTTACAAAATAGTTATAAAATTGTATCTTTCATATTGTGTCTGATGTAGAATTATTTAAAGATGTTGGCTGTACCTGATTCTCAACTCTCTTCCCTTTCTAATATTTCTGTATCTACATGTGAGATATCAATAGTACAATATATATATATCATCATTCACACTTGGTTTGTCTAGTCTTTGTATAACAAGAAAATACCATTAAAAAATAAAAAGTGTAAAAAAAAGTAATCTATATTATAAAACCAATAGACCCTACTGTGTTGTCGAGTCAAAAGGGACTTTTCACAGTTTTCTAGTGACCCAATTGATTTAAAAAGAGATCTCGCCTGGTTTCAGACCCGACCATCCTTCGTCTGAGTAAAAGTGATAAAGACATTCTTGTTTGTCTGTCTGAAAGATATTGTTCTACAATTGTGGTTTCTTTGTAAACGTGACTTTCGGAATTAAGAAGTAGAAATAAAACTAAAAATTGTAAAAATTTTACATTTTTTATGATTCAACAATATTTTCCTTATTGTTATAGACACAGGTTTTGCATCGGGCCTGCCACTTTTAAATGAGGATAACTTGAAATGACAACGTTTAAGAAAAGGCACTGACCCCCTCCCCTTTTCAGGATTTAATTACGATACAAATTAAGACGACATCAACACCGAACTAATTATTAACTATGGTATCGAAATCATTTACTTAGTATATTGTTTGTGAACGTTTTTTTGTAATTCATCTGAGTATTTATAACTTTCTAGGGTTTCTCAAAGATTCCCAAAGTAACATTATTTTGGTTAATTGCGATTTCTAAAATGTTCGATAAAACTGTGTTTATTAATTAAACACTGTTTTGAGGCCGAATTAAAGAATTTGAGGCGCAGCTTAGATTTAAGGCGCGGCTCATATTTGGTTGGTTCCAGTTAAAGTTGTATTAAATGTTTCAAGATTTTAGCCGGCGCTCTTATGAATTCAGTTTTTTTGCTGATTTGAAACGCAACTCAAATTCATTAAGTTCGGACTCAGAATGATGATAAATTTGAAATTGGAGGCAATTAAAAACTTTTTTAAATGGGAAGCCCTGGATTTCTGTCTGGTGTGTCATTGTCAAACTGTGAAGAGTTTTAACTCGATATTCCAAGGATTGTCTTCATCGATAATCTTCTGAATTGCTAGCTCAACTTCCAGGATAGATATTGTTCTTACATTCTTCTTTACATTCAACTAACTTGTGAGCCCAGCACTGCCCAGCTTCCTAAAAGTTACCCTCTGTTTCGCTACTTAGCGATTTCCCTAAAGACCTAATATATATACCGTGTGGTATTTCTCAGGACCGGATCG